TCCAAGCAGAGCAAGAAAGAAGAGCTTGGTAATTAGTAGCCTTTGAGGCAAGACCTGATCTGTCCGCTTGTACAAAAAGAATCACTTCTAAGGTCCTTTTCCAGACATGTTCTTTCTGTTGTTCATTCAACACTGTCACTCCCTGCACATGAATGACGGCCGAGGTGACCACATTCACAACCCCTCCAGTTAGATGAAGGCGAACCAACACTCAAGATTCATACACAGGTGGAACACAACGTCAGCTTTATTAGGAGATTTCTACAAAACATTTATCCTACGTTTCCACCCTCTCACCCTTGTATCTGTCTAAGCTATATTGTTTATAGGAACTTCACGTATGGCTTGAGGTAGTAAAAACAATAAGAGAAAAAAATAATCATGAAAAGGAAGAAGAGAAATTAAAGGGGGTAGGGAGATCATCAGCCTTGGATCCAGCACCAAGCGTGCTGATGGGGACGCTCCACATGGTAAAGAATGGAAGCAGCAGCACCTAGAAGCAGGGCCAGCAGCAGAGGTAGGGCACACCTGACCTCCCCCCCAGCACCTACTTATAATACCAAAGGAAAAAGATAGATCCCATCACCCCTATTTGAAATCGGAGTTGCCTCCAGTCCTAGACACTGGACTACATCCAAATCAAAGGAAGTCACACCAGGCTCCCTCCTGAAACTTGACCATTTCAGGGGTGTTGCTCTGGACTCTTCCAAGAGTGGCTGACGCATCCGTCCAATTAAGGGAAGGGACACCCAGCTCCTCCCTGAGACTTAATTGTCTCTCAGGGCATTGTTCTGGCTCACACTAACAGGCACTAACATCTCATCCCAAACACCACCCCATGGCTCAAACATTCTGAGGTCTCCTTCAATAATGGTGATCTCCACATAGCGGTTAGCAGGTGAGAAGAAAGAGAGATGAGGCGGCCTACCATTAAAAAACAAAAAAATCAAATCCTAAAATTGATATTCCCAAGCCATTTCCCCCACCCCCTGCATCCCAGTGATTTCAGCAGTGATGTGATCCATGGCCGTGGATCAGTCCATCAAAGGAGTCTTTTGGCTGCATCACCTGAAAAAGCTCTCCAGTCTTTCTGGTGAATCACACTGGAGCTGGGGAGAATGGCCCCACTTGGAGCCTCTGGCAGAAACCAGAGCAGTTCCCAGCATCTCACTTGTTAAACAATTCATGTATATGCACACACTGTCATAACATTTATCCTTTATCTCAGTAAAAAGCTTCATCTCGACCTAGAAGTTCTACTTCATGGGGTTTTTTTTGTTCTCTCCTGCATCCCAAAGGCAAGGAGAAGAGTCAGAAAACGACTGCTGGGCGGCCTGCTGGTTTAAACCACAACACACTTCTGCTTTCTGTTTCCTCTGCACATATGCTTATGGGATTTGAGACTAGAACTGCTTCTAAAGCCCTTCCCACACTCAGAGCACTTGTAGGGTCTCTCCTCTGTGTGGATGCGCTGGTGGAGGACGGCATGGGAAGTCTTTTTGAAGCTCTTGCCACATTCAGGGCACTTGTAGGGTCTCTCTCCTGTGTGGACATGCTGGTGTTGGATGAGGTAGGAACTGCTTCTGAAGCTCTTTGAACACTTTGAACACTTAAAAGGTTTCTCTCCAGTGTGGATGCGCTGGTGTACCGTGAGGTTTGAACTGCTTCTGAAACTCTTCCCACACTCAGAGCACTTAAAGGGTCTCTCTCCTGTGTGGATGTGCTGGTGGTGGGCGAGGTGGGAACTTCTTTTGAACCTCTTTCCACAATCAGGACACTTAAAGGGCAGAAACCAGAGAAGTTCCCAGCGCGTCACTTGCTATACAATTCATATATATATGCACACTGTCGTAACATTTATCCTTGTCCTTTATCTCAGTAAAAAGCTTGAACTCAACTCTTAAGTCCTACTAAGATCTTTTCTTGGTTTTGTTCTCTCCCCCAACCAGCTGGGAAAGGGAGGAGTGAGCGAAGGACTTGATGGTGCTGAGCCACCTGCTGGGTTACACCACAACAGGCTTCTATAATCACTTTCTTCTGTGTACTTGCTTGTGGGACTTGAGTCTAGAACTGCTTCTAAAGCTCTTCCCACGCTCAGGGCCCTTGTAGGTTCTCTGTCTTGTGTGGATGCGCTGGTGGCGGATGACATTGGAACAGCTTTGGAAGCTCTTCCCACACTCAGAGCACTTATAGGGTTTCTCTCCTGTGTGAATGCGCTGGTGGTAGGTGAGGTGGGAACTCCTTTTGAAGCTCTTCCAGCAGTCAGGGCACTTGTAGGGTCTCTCTCCTGTGTGGATGCGCTGGTGGTTGGTGAGGGCAGAACTGCTTTTGAAGCTCTTCCCACAGTCAGGGCACTTGTAGGGTCTCTCTCCTGTGTGGATAAGCTGGTGGGAGTAAAGTGTGGAACTGTGTTTGAAGCTCTTTGGACATTCAGGACAACTAAAGGGTTTCTCTCCTGTGTGGATGCGCTGGTGGCAGACGAGATGGGAACTCCTTTTGAAGCTCTTCCCACACTCAGAGCACTTAAAGGGTCTCTCTCCTGTGTGGATGGGCTGGTGGACAATGAGGTTGGAACTGCTTCGGAAGCTCTTCCCACACTCAGAGCACTTAAAAGGTCTCTCTCCTGTGTGGATGCGCTGGTGTATCGTAAGGTGGGCTCTCCATTTGAAGCTCTTTCCACAGTCAGAGCACCTGTGCAGTCTCTCCCCTGAGTGTATGTGCTGGTTGCTAGCAAGTCTGGAATATCTTTTAACGCTTTTTGCGTGCTCATTACTTGAGTTCCGTTTTTTCTTCCAGCGTACTTCTCTCTTCCTGGCATCTATAGGCTGCTGTTGACCTGCACTGAGACCCACCGGGTTCCTTGCTCTCTTTCCTGGATAGTTTCCCAGTGACTTCTTGAAACGCTCTCCTTGCTCCAGGCCACTTTGGACATCCTTTCTCCTTATTCCCACAGAGACACTACCCCACTGCCTTTGGACCACACCAATTTCCTGCAAATTCTCTTTTCTATTTGTGATCTCCTCTCCTCCTGGATGACAGAGGAAATCCAGAAATAGCACACGGTGCCCCAAATATTACCCAGCCCCAACCATCCT